AATTTTACAAGAATGAGACTCAGACTACCAGAAGCTATCTAAACTAGAAATTCTGATTCATCTGCAATCTAAACCTATTAGAGTGGTTAAAACTCACCTATATTTGATAATGTAAGATATTATTAGTTGGTGTGTTATATTTAATCTATGTGATAGTCTATAAAGATATTTTTCTGATTGCCTTTCCAAGGGGTGGACATGTATTATTGTTATGTTGTTAGTCAGATAACCCACAAAGGCAGCTGTATATATGTGATATTCTGCAGTATATTGTGTTAGAACTAATTGTTCTATAAGAAGTTCTTAAACTTTGATTAGGTCTGAAAGGTATGTTATTTTGTTGCTTCTATTCTGAAAGTTTAGCACAGTATAGTATCCATATTTGGTTATATATATTTTGTGAAATTTGTATAAGAAGTTGAATTGTTATCTTTGTTGCAATTTGGTTATAGTTTGTATATTCTCTTATAAATTGTATGAGAGATATTGGGACAAATCTTTAAATAGTTGTATATAGGTTAATATTGTGTATTAGTTATTAAGTAAGTAACATTAGTGATTTGTAAGTATATTTTGTAGTTCTTGTAACTAAGTGTTTGTGATATTCAAGTTTGAGTGATAAAAAAATTGTTGTATAGTATAGTAATAAGTATATTTATTGTAGATGTATCTGGGCAAATAAGTCAATATTTTTAGTTTTTTTGTGTCTATAAGTTATACAATTGTTATTTAAAATTGTTGATGGATATAATGTATTAAAGTAGAGAGTATATCTAGCATGAGCTTAATTTTAAATATTTTTTGTTGATATAATTTAAAGTTGGTGTAAGTAGTTGATCTTTTGTAGTTGTTGTTTATGTATACCAGACTGCATTTTAATTAATTTGAGATAATAAAGATATTATATTGTCTATATGGTGTTAAGGGTAAAGGGTATATCGATCATTTTTCATATGATCATTATTGTACAAAATAATATTACACATGACAACATAAAGATGCTACTAATAAAACTTTTTAGGAATATAATTAAATTTTGTCAAAATTTTGTAGCTTATATTTCAAAACCTTCTATTTATAGTAGTAAAATAATTAATTAATATTATATAGTCATATTATTCATAAATAATTAAGTAAATATTGTGGGTGTATATCTGATTTTGCAGGGGTGACAATTAAAATCTAAAATATTCTATTAATGTTCTAGAACTTCTAGAATGTGATTGACACTATATAACAATAATTGCCAATTTACAATTTTACTATATATATATTGCTTTTATCATAACAATTTTACTATAAATTACAATATATTGTTTTTTAAAAAATCATGTCTAGTTAGTACCAAAAATTAGTTCAACAAAACCTTGGGCCCGAATTGCTTTTCAGCATGATAATAAAACATAGATTGTAAGAGAAATAGATAAAACTTTAGAAGTACTTGACTTTCATTCGATTTTAACTCCTATTAATCTAAAAGCTACAGAAGCAAATTTTAATTCTCATGCAGGATATTATCCACATCAAAATAAAAATAGTGATATAAGTTGGGTTCCTTTATTACCCGGTTATATTATATATACACATTTTCAAAAAAAATACTTTCAATTTAAAATTGCTAAAGATATAAATAATCAAATATATTTTGAGTAGTATGATTTTGATAATGATTCAACATTTCAAAATTTACAGGATAGTAGATTTGACTATACAGCTTATCGAAGTTTATTGCGCAAACATAATACTAAAAAAAATCATTTCCATAGATTATGGGATTTCTTAACCATGACAATATTCTTTTTTTACAAAATATAATAACTCGACATTATCCTTATATATTCAATAACTATAACCAAACTATAAAAGCATTTCAAAAAGAAACTAGATTAGAAAATACTATGAAATGTGTTGCTTATGAGCTTAATAATAAAATAGATGAAAGTGAATTACTGATTTCTAATAGAATTTTACTTGAATGGCATGGTAAATATTTAACTCCACAAGAAACCCAGGCTTTAATAGTAAAATATAATGAATTGGTTCAAAAAAATTATGCTTTAAATTGAAAAATTCAACGACTTCAAAAAAAAATTATTGAACTAACTAATGATAATAACCAAATAGATACTGAAGAAGATTCTAATAAACTATTAGAAATAATAGAGGAAAATATTAGCAAAGCTAAGCTCAGATCAACTATTTTAATAGATTCAAAGCAGTATCTTTTGTTAGTTTTTTTACAACCATGTACTAATTGTGGTAATATTCAAGTTTCTAAATATACTTATATTGTTGATACTATTGGGTTTGCAATAAAAAGTCAAATTATTTGTCATTTATATTGTGAGATAATAGAAAATGATAATGAACCAAGAAATATTCGCTATTCAAAGGCAGTTTCAGCAGCAGCTTTGGTGGGTGGTTTTACTTATTATTCTTTGCAAAATATTTTTGCATATATTGGAATTACTAGTCAAAGTTGTAGAAAAAGTTATTATTTATATCAAGCACCATTATTTTCTTATTTGGTTGCAAATGCTAAAGAATCTACAATATTCTGGTTAGAAAAATCTTTAGAGATTATGAAACAAAAAAATGCTAATTATTTACCTGTAAGTTTTGATTGCTCTTAGTCACATGGGCGTAATGCCCAGCAAGCAAGTAGTGAATTAATTTTTCAAGAATCCATACCTGGTATTTTATTTATAAATTTATAACTGTTTTTAAAAAAATGTGAACAGTTGCATATTACTATATCATGGAAAAATTCATAATCTTTCCAAAATTTCTAAAGTTTTTGAATTTTACTGATCTAAATTTCCAGATTTTTCAATTTTCTATACAGATATATAGAAATCATTATTCATATACTTTTAAAAACAGTTATAAATACAGTCATACCTAAGGATATATTCTCCAGATTATATTTCTATCTTTGTTATTCTATATTTAAGCAATATAAATTTTATTTTATATGTTTTAAATATTGAATAATATTCTACCTTAGTTAAATCTCTAAAAAAATTTAAAAAAAGGATGATATAACCTAAGTATGACTGTATTATTTTAATGATACAATATAACTTATATTTTAATTAAAACTAGATGTTTTTCACAAACCTGTAATTGCTTTTCATACTGTTGAGAAAGCATGTAACAGAAAAGATCAAGATATAGGAAAAACTATTAATCTTCATGAAGAAAATTTTAAAAAAAGTTCACGACAAATGGAGCATTGTATACTTATTGCTGTTTTGAATGAAGTTGAATTTTTTGTGACGGGGCCTATAAAAGTAAAATAAATAAAATATTTGATAACTATCACCTTTTTAGTTTTCATGACCATCGAAAATTTTACCATAGCTAGCTTTGCTAGTTTCATAAGTTTCATCATGTTTCGCATTAGATATTTAACAACTAAAACACTTATTAAAAATAGTAATTCCA